TTTGATAAATTTCATGAAGATAGGAGTAGCCTCGGCAGGGGGATTTGAATTGGCCGATTTGTACCCATCATTAAAGTTCCTTCAAATTTTCAGTTGGAATAAATATCAACTGTTGAAGATGCGTCGTAAGCTCGACTCAATTCTTGATGTCATGCTCAATGAGCATAAACATAAGTTAGCTAGCGACAAAAGAGACAATGGGGAGTTGGTTAGTGAAAACATATTAGATGTTCTCCTCCGAAAGCAACAAAGTGAGGATCTTGATGTTCCAATAACTGATGATAACATCAAAGCAATCATCTTCGTAAGTCCTTTATCCATAAAACGTTGCGTACGTTCTCTTAACCATTATATTGTTGATTTGTTTAAGCATCAATAAGTATGTTGGTGTAATTGCAGGATATGTTTACGGTCGTAAGTGAAAATTCATCCGCAACATTCAATTGGCTGATGACAGAATTGATGAGAAATCCACAAGTGACGGCAAAAGCACAAGCTGAAATAAGAGAAGCCTTCAAAGGAAAGAAGACAATCGAGGAAAGTGATATTCAAAAACTAAAATATCTGAAGTTGGTAATCAAGGAAAATCTTAGGGTACACCCCGCTGTCACTATACTCCCAAGAGCATGCAGGGAAGAATGTGAAGTTGACGGGTATACCATACCCTACAAAGCAAAGGTTGCGGTGAACATCTGGGCTTTGGGAAGAGATCCACAGTATTGGGAAGAGCCAGAAACCTTTAAACCCGAGAGATTCGAGAATAGTTCTCTTGATTTCTTGGGAAATAACTATGAGTATATTCCATTTGGAGCAGGAAGCAGGTTTTGTCCTGGCATGAACTTTGGCCTTGCAAATATTGAGGTACCTTTGGCTCAACTTCTTTATCACTTTGACTGGAAACTTCCTCATGGAATGAACAGCGATGATCTAGACATGAGTGAGATGCCTGGAGTAAGTGTGCAGAGAAAAAATAAACTCTATGTGATCGCTACACCCTACAATCCTCCAATTGAAGGTTAATTTATCCGAGGCTAGAGGGCAGTTCTTAATGCAAATAAGCTACAGTGCCTGAATGATTTGTTATTATAATATTTATAGTCTTTATATATGTGTGTGTGTGTCATTTTCATATCAATAAAGATTTACTATTCTGCCTGGACAAATTTCAATTTTTCATCGTCTCTTGTACTCGGCATATGTTGTTTTAATTAAGCTATCATCACCAAAGTTTCTTAAAATTTTCAAAATGAAAATTGAACTAATTTTTTTACAATAGAAATCACTAAAGTTTGTGAAAGTTACACTAATTATCAGTAAGTTGGAAACATTAACTAGTATGCAATTCGAGACAAATAATGCTGATGCCTTGAAAAAATCATCAACAAATTCAAAAATTCATAAATTGAATGCTTTCTTAAAATGGAAAAATTATGAAGAAAACGTGTTTTATAATTATGCCTTTATAGATGTATTGAACACAATTTTGTCCTGTATGATGAGGTAGTTAATGCAATCTATGCCCATCTCAGAATTTAATGGTGACATGTAGGTTTTAGATTAATTACTACAGTCTATTGGCCATAGTGTAGCATTGCATAAAAAAATTATTTTTAGTGTCCATTTTGAAATTTTTAACAAACTTGAAGGATAGTTGTTAAAATTAACTCGATCTCCTTTAAACTTTACAATTACTTTAATCTCTTATGGAGAAATGTCCTAATCAACATTGCTCAGTTTATGCCAAGCAACATGTTACGTAAACTCACCAAATCTAATTTAACTTTTGGAACCTAGTATAAACCTATCTAACAATTCGTTGATGTGCCATGTTACTGGTTTTCAACATAAGCTAAGTAACGACGCTTAATATATTATTTTTCATCTCTTTTTTTATTAACATAAACGTGAAGAGTAAATTCTCCTTTTAGCAATCACCTAGACTCCTTTGCTATATTGGTAAAATAATAAAATAAGTATTGCAATGGGACAATGATGCACATAATAAAAAAATTAAACTGGTGTCCAATCTTTTTCAATATGCACGTGTGTAAAATATGGACTTGCATGCTCAATTGATATTTTATTTTGATAGTGTGAAATGTAAGTTGAAATAATTAGATATTTGCCTTCAAAGAGATGACATTGTTTTTACACACACATATAGTAAATAGTGTTATATTGATCTGTGAACTTGTGTTCTTTGTCAATTTTTTTAGCAAACAACAACTCTATTCATTGTCAACTATCCAGCGTAATAGTCGCACTCAAATAATATGACATATAATTAGTCCATGAGTGAAACAATAAATTAGAAATAGCAATGAGGGGATCGTATGGGTAGCCGTATCTCTCTCTCGAGGAGTGAAGCTACACGTGTCACTCCCAGTTTTCACAAAAGTGAAGTAATCTCACCTAGAAGGGAAGCCTTAGGCACGTACTCCATATCTGTATGGAGCTCTGTAGCAATCGAGGCGGCCACTTTCTGTTTCAATGATTCAAAACCATTCTCAGCATCTTCAACCTCGAACTTCTATTGATTTTTCGTGGATTTTTAATAAGGATATTAGAATGATTTCACAACATGCTTTTGTCATCTCATTTGTTTATGGATGATTTTGGGTCTTGTTCAAAGTATCCTCTCTCTGCGGACGAAATGTTTGACAAGGTTTTAAGGACTTGATATTTCTTTACTTGAGTTAAAAAAAAAAAAAAAAGGTTATTTATTTAGACAGTAACGGGTCACTTTCAAATAAAGTTATTTATTTTCAGCTTTGTCATACAGTTTATTTCTTACTAGTAAACTTACTCCTATGTAATATTTTAACTTAGCCAAGTATGACCCAATAGAATTGACTTATACACATTATATTGATTCGATCAACTGGCTTCTTGTGCTCATAATTGTCTTCCTTGAAGAGAATGCAATCATATGCCACTTTCCCCTGAGTAACAAGTGTAATAATTATTGATTATATATAATACTTTAATCAGGAATTTCAACTATCATGTTACTCACAATCTCTATAATATGGAAATAATGGAAACAAGGTTTATTTACATATCAAGTTCTATGATTAAAAATAAATAAAAATAAAAGAGCTGTAGTTATTATGTGCAAGATCATCGGATAAGTTGGTAAGTCGGTCCACACAGATGTAAAACACATGGCACATATTATGCATAATAACTCTGTAAATAAATATGATAGGGGTACACAATAAAGTGATTTATTTCATTTAAGTCCCCATTTGACTTTAACTAGTCGAACCTTTGAATTTGAATAAAAAAAATATTGCCTTTGACTTTGAATGAATGGGTTATAACATTGTGGACGAGGATTCAACTGATTACACACAAATAAAGCATGTACCATGTACTCCAACCTACCACACCACACCACACGCAAAGCCCATCACTATGACCTTCCACCTTATCAGGTTGGGATGACCTCATTAAAAACCTGCAACAAACACTCGGGCGTTCGAGAGGGCAACGAAGTTCCATACTTTAAAAAGATAATGCTTAAAAATAAATTTCAAGAGACTCTCTATTTGAACTTCTACTGGTCTCTAATGTAAATTAGAAGAATTGTTGCACACTCCAAAACACAATATGCTTTTATTTGCCACTTTCTCTTTACAGCTATATCTTGGTTAAAGTCATCTTTATGTGCCCAAATATGACGAAGTCAAATGCAAATACACTGCTTGTTTTGTTTTCTTGCAATTTTTGAACTTAAGTATCTCATTTGTAGAGAGATACTGTAGAGAGAAAACATACTTCTACCAAGGCGTTATCGGGCTCAGTTCACCCACCAATCGACACCACAACGAGCAACAACCCAAAACTCCCATAATGGTTCCTCCACTTATGATTCCTTTTGAATACCCGCAAAAAACCACAAAGGAAAGTCAATATCACACAAGAATCAAACCACAAAGGTAGTAGAGGCGAACCAATAGAAAGTGAACGGAGAAGAAGGAAAGAAAAGGCTGTAAGTCATGACTATGAGGTAGCGAAGGAGACGAGCCATATTAACCAATGGAAAGGGCCGGCCCTGGCCCAAGGCAAGCAAGGCCATTGCCTTGGGCCTCAAAATCTGAGGGGCCTCTTAAAGAAGTCCAAAAACCACTCCAATACCAAAACCCCCTCATATCCCTAAAAAAAGGGGGAAAGATAATAAGAAACCATCCATCTTTTTCTCCACCATTCCAATCATCTTCTCCAAATCAAGAACGTGATAAACTCGAAGAATACCAATCCCTAAAATAGAACGATCAGCAAAATCCCCGGCTAGAAATCCGATTACCCAACCATAGGGTCGGCCTCTTCGCCTTTTTATGCTTATGGCTTTTTTTTTAATCGGTTTCTTACGCTTATGTTGCCCTTGCTGCAGATGTGAGAACAAAGATGTATAGTTTCAAACTTTCTCCAATTGATTTATTAAGCAGTGGACCTTTGGGTAAAGTGTTGCCGCTTTGCCAGTCGTCGAAGTCCCGAAATGTTGATAAATCGCAGAGTCGGACACTCGGACTGACCTGACGTTGTGTTGATGTGGATGCTTAATCAGGTGAGTACTGTCTCCAATTTTTTTTATCTTCTATCTTATGAAATAAACATCTATGCAGGCAATAGTGTGGACTAAAATATTGTTTTTGACTAGTAAATATTGTTTAGGAGCCTTTTTCTATTTAATTTTTATCCCTTTTTTTAATAGAATTCTGTATTTTATATTTGGAATTTCATTAATTTTGCCGATTGTTTGATTTTCCCATTTGGACTATTATTAGTTAATAGTTTTACTCTCATGGATGAAAAAAGTAGTCTGTACTGCCTTGAAAAAAAAAGTTGGCAAAAATTTCATCATAAAACTTACTTTGGTTACTTTGATTATAGTGGGAAGGATACATTAGCGGTGTCCGTGGTGGCACTACTAGTACCTTGTTGATAGATCAATGGAAGTATCTATGTCCTCAACCAAAAATATCGACCGTTGAAGTAATGAATCTCCTCATATCAAAATGACTTCTAATATCCGTGAGTTCCAAATCATAAACATCAAAATTTAGATAATTAGCCATGGCATCAAATCAAACTTGATTTTCCTATCCCTGGTGGTCCAAATAACATGTATCCACTCTTCCATGTGTTGCCCACCTTGCCACATGTGTTCTTAAGGTAGATTTTGTTCACCAGTCTTTCATTTTCTTTCAGCCTAGCATTTTTGAATTTATTTTTTGAATTTGGCTGCAAGAATGAATGTGTACTTAAATGCAGACAATGGTTATGTTTCACAAGCCAATCTAATCTAATAGATTTAAACAGATTTATGTTGAGCATTTACCTGAAGATTCATGCCTCGATGTCTCTATCGCTATTTTCATTAACAAATCAAAATATTTTTCGTAACCTTTGGAACTACATATTTGCAGGTCATTTTTAATTATTGAATCCTTTCTTTATGTTGAAGGGCCTCATAATAATTAACTGCCTAGGGCCTCTAAATTCTCGGGGCTGGCCAATGGAGTAGGCAAAATAAGGTAAGTAGGTTAGGTCAAAGTAGTGGCTCAAAAGGCCCAAACACAAAAATAGTGGGCTATCAAATGGGTACCATTATTTAGCAGTCCAAATAAGTGGGACAAACCATGAGCAACACTAATAAATTAAGTTGCTTTGAATGGCACATACAAATTGAGGTTGGGTCGTCCCATTTGCGATGTCGATATAACGTTCAGCCATTTGGTCTATGCCAATTGGAAATGAAATCGAGTCAATATCACAGCCCGAAGAGATCGTTTGACAATAATTTGTCTAACAAACCTCTACCTTGTTATCAAAGGACCTGCAAAGAAACATTAACACATGTTAGCAATAAAATAAGGCTACCTTCGCTGATGTTTAGAAGATTTTTGTAACTTCTAAACTTTACCAACGATAGCACCTTTGTGCCCATGTCTGAAGGATTGTATTGTGTATGTATCTTTTCAAGTTTTACCACTTCTTGTGACATGATATATCTAATGAAATATAGTCTAATATCAATGTGCTTGGTGCGTTAGTGAAAAATAGGATTTTTGCATAGATGTATAGAAGAGTGACTATTGAAATATTCTACCACATAATCATTCAAGATACACAATTCATAAAGTAGGTCTCTAATCCACAGAGT